TTTCTGGTAAAGTAAAAAAATTAAATAAATATAACAATCTCCTTTTTTCTGGTAAAGTAAAAAATTAAATAAATATAACAATCTCCTTTTTTCTGGTAAAGTAAAAAAATTAAATAAATATAACAATCTCCTTTTTTCTGGTAAAGTAAAAAAATGTAATAATCTCCTTTGTTAGCAAATCAAAAATGTTCAAAATCATTATAATAATTATTCGAACAGACCTCCATTTGCTGCAACACAGTAGTCTAGTCTATCGTAAAACGATGGTCGAACAAAAAAAAAACAAAAAAAAAAAACCTTAATCAAATTAATTTGTGAATAATTTTTTAAAAAATTTTTACATTGTGTTTGAATGTTTTAATAATATTGGTTTTGTTTATTTTCCTTCCACGAATGGTGTGTCGAAAACTGACTCGCCTATTTTTTGGCAGGAGACTAACAAAATAAAATGTGCCGAGTCATAATTAGACGCACCAACGTTGATTTTCCTATGGTGCACCGAAAATTGATTCACATTCTTTTATTAACGTATTAATCAAAGGAAATAAGCCTCTAGTCAGATTTAAACGCACCCACGTTGATTTTCCAATGGTGGGTCAAAAAATGACTCACCCTGTATAGTATCCACTTCCTTCGCTTTCTCTGTGTTTTGGGCATTTTTGTGGGCTTTCTCAGAGGTGGCTTTCTTTGCCTTAGGTCCATCTCAGCCCCGAATGAATTTCATCCGGGGTCGAGATGCAAAATGATATTAATTTATTTTTTACAACCAAATACATAATTAAATTATTTTAGGGAAAATATATAAATAAAAACACAATGTGTGGTGTTTAGTGACCGTTAGTTAACGATTATTTGGAGATCGTGAGATGAGGTCTGGTGTGGCACAGGTTTTAGAAAAACATTTTCTTTATCGTGCCAACGTTTCGATCTCTATTGAGATCATCTTCAGGGCCTGGGATTTATAAACATTGTTTAAATTTGACAAATACATCTAGCATTGGATAAATTCATTTTTTTCACATCCTGCATGTCGTTGTAAAATTTAAACAATGTTTATAAATCCCAGGCCCTGAAGATGATCTCTATAAAGATCGAAACGTTGGCACGATAAAGAAAATGTTTTTCTAAAACCTACGACACACCAGACCCCATCTCACGATCTCTAAATAAATAGACAATGCTATGAGGAGGAAGAAACAGCTAGCCATATCGTCTTCGAATGCGAAGCAACCGCTCAATTGAGACATAAACTGGGATACAAAGAAAACTCAGAAAAAGGAATTGTAGCAACGACAGTCAATGACCTAGAACTTCTTAAGAGAAGAATTGAGTCGATTGACTGAACAAAGGAACTAGAAAAAAGCCGAACATAAACCCCACCTACCCCTTTTCATCATCATAGTCACCATCAAACGGCTCTCTGCCTCAGGTTAACGTGACTTTGCGCGTCGTAATAATCTTCAGTAACTTCCTTCCGGCTAGGAAATTTATTTTGGTACTCAGGGCTTTTTCTAACGATTTCGTTATGACGCTCTTGTTTATTTCGTATGACCATGCGTGCGAATGAATGTCACATCAGGGGATCAGGTGATCGGCCGTTTCCCTTTCGCCCAACTCGCATACTGGGGAATCTTTAAATTCTGTATTCATACAACTTATTCGCGACGTCTCTATGGCCAATTGGAAGCTGAGATATAAATTTGTTTACTTCTTTGTCTCAGCATCAGTCGTTGGTATTACATTTTTTTCCTTCTTCTCGGGAAAAAAAATTAATAAAGCTTAAATTGGGGCGGGACGAACCGAGAAGAGAAGCGCGAGAAGCAGGAGCAATTCGCGGCCTGCAAGATCCTGATCAGGAGGGCACAGGGTCCGAGATTGGAAAAAAAAGCAAGGAGAGTCAGTTCGATATAGATGTTCCGAGGAAGAAGTGGTCTCCGCGAGAAAGAAAATATTTTTAAAAAATGTGTATGTGTTTGTGTGGCTTATGATCCTAGTCGTGCTGATCGAAGAGTTCCTACGAAGAGAAAGGGGCTGATCCCGGCAAGTGAAGAGTGATTCCGTGAGTTGATTCATTTCCAATTTCTTATCAAGCCTGATAATTCCGACTAGGGACATTAGCTCTAAGTTTCGGCCTATTGTTAGCTTTTAATTTAAAAGGATATGTCTATCTACTTGTAAATAGAATAGTTGTGATTAGTATTCATTTTTTTTTAAATCGTAGTTTTAAACCCTAAGTAACCTGAATACCTTAAGATATATTTCTTGTGTTAACGAATTAACTGGGATAGAAGCAGGAAGAACTTCATCATTTAGCTCCCATCATAAATGGGTGGAAGCGCCATCAGAAAGAAGAGAGCCAAAAGCGCTACATCGGTCGTCTGGGGCCTGACACGGAAACCCTATCTGTCCTTCCTTTTCCCTTTCTTTTTATTGTTCTACTCTTCTTTTCCTTTTTTCCCCCTGGTTTCGGTATTTATCCTTCTCCAAAAATACCGTGGCGCTCAACGTAACAGCTTTAAATAAACTTTCACTTCCTCACCGACCATCACTTGTCTCTCCCTTCAACACGTTCCCCCCCTTCCCCACTGAGCTATCGCCAACGTACGTCCAGCCACATAAGGAAGCTGTAACAGTGGTCTATGCTGCAGAAGATCATTCTCCTTTAATTAGTTTTCTCATCCACATCGGATATATTGTAGGAGTGATTCTCATATGTGTGTTCATCTATTTCTAAAAGAGACCCTATGTGCGTCCGCCGATTGCTTTCATTATGGCCATTCGTACCTCATCCCGGTTGTTTTCGAGTATCAAATTGGCGCTTTTATATTGGTGCCCTCCAACCTAAAGTAGGTCATCATATTTTTACTTAGTCCTGTCACAACCTGTGGATTCTTTGATAAAGTAATAACTCTCATTTCTAATATTTGATTTAAAGGAAAACACTGGTTATACCAACAGAATTCAGTTCTAACACAAAAGACGAAATCTTTCCAGGCCTGGTTAAGAATGACACTTTTTAAATTAGTTATACAAACTTGGAAGAGTGGCCTTCCGCCAGCCCATATCACAATGCTTTGGATACTGTGGTCAGTGTTGGAGGGCACATTATTAGTAGAAAAAGAACAAACATTTCGCAACACACAAAAATGAATTTTGTGGTTTTTCTGCAAGTAATTCCCTCCAATATTAACCACTCAAGCAATGCAATGAGATCTAGGCTGGCGGAAGACCACTCTTCCAAGTTTGTATAATAAATTCAAAAAGTGTAATAAATATAATATGCGAATCTTTGGAAAAGGGATATGATAAAAGTAGTCGAAAAATTCCAGTGGGAACGGGCAGTGCAGCTTTATTTTGTTGGGTTCATTGAATTGTTTTATCAAGGAACGCTGGGTTTAACGTTTTCCATCGAACTTTAAAGTCCAGAGAAATAGAAGACATCGACTGGACTTAGGCCTGTGCTTGTTTTTATTTTGGTGGGCGGTATATTTGGCAAATTTAATTTAAGCTGATAAGTTTTATCAATCAAAGCCGCGTTAACCATTTCTATCTATCTTAAAGTCCATGGAACTAGGTAACATCGATTGTACTTGGATCTTGGCTGGTTTTAATTTTGGTGGGCGGTATGTTTGCTCAATTAAATTTAAAGTTGATAAGTTTTATCAATCAACGTTGAATTTAACGTTTAGTATCGACCCTAAAGTTCAGGGAAATAGATACCATCGATTGTGCATGGGCCTGGGTTGGTTTTTATTTTGGTGGGCGGTAGGTTTGGCCAATCAACTCCACTAATAACACACCATGCTAAAATTGACGAGTGGCCCAGCAGCCTTCAGTCTTGTTCAAGCTAAGGTTGGTAGGTTTAACAGTATTAATTAACTATTTACTTAATAATTTAAGCCAGAAATATTTTTATTTTAATGGATGTTTAATTTAAAACATACTGAATCGTTAAGACAGGACTTGTGGCTAAAGTATAAGAGTAGAGGCGATTAGGGCTTTACATAAAGTATGAAATTATGTTTTGTACGAATGTATTTATTAGCGCGAATGACGGAGGGATGTTGCGGAAAAACATGGTAATATAAATTCCTTCTAAAAATTATGAACTATGTATTATAGTCGACTTATAACTTAAATTTTTCTGTAAATTGCAGACTTTAGAATTTTTTATTAAAGAATTCGCCATTGAACTACATCCGAGATGATATTTTCGGTAGTGTTGGAGGACAAGAAAAGTATAAATTAATCGAATAATAAATAAAATCACACGAAAACGCTTTATTTTGCAACTTTTTACATAATAATATTATGTACAACAATAATGTCACTTTTCCTTAATGGTAAAGTTAATTTAAAACATTTAGGAAATTTCGTTATGTTCTATTCCTAATTTCTTAATTTGGTTCAGCAGTTTCATAAACTGTTTTTCTCCAAACATTTATTTTGTTACATAATACAATTTTGTTTAAATACAGTAATAAATAATGCTTGATTTTATTATTAGGTAAGCAAATAAAAACAAAATTCTATCCCATTTTGGTTCTATAAATTTTCAGAAAATACGCTAATAATAGGTAAAGGATAGACATAATTTGTGCGTATTTCCTTAAATTGTTTTCTACAGTAATTATATTTATTTGGGTTAATTACAATTCGAAAGTAGATTTTTTATGATATGTCGTACTATTTACACAAATTATTCATGACAAAATTTAAAATAACTTTTTTTTTTAAATTTATAATTTCTAATGTTATCCATTAGCAATACCTGATTGTCTCAGAGACTCTTGCTCAGGTCAATAAATACAATTTCTATAATTTGTATGCTTAAGAAGCATTAAATTAAAAACTTGCAATAAATTTTATGATTATATTATAATTCAGAAATATATCTCAATTAATACACATTTCAGTAAAAGTTTCAATTTTTGATTTTGATATAAAAGTTAAATATGAAATTTCTTCGTGTTATTGAATGTAAAATAAAATTTGTCAAATGTGTCAAAAAGAAGGAAAAAAATTGGAATTTAAAAATGGAAGCGAAATGGTATTTTAATAAAACTAGACGGTTATAACAACAAAGTAATAGTAACGAAATAATAATAATAACAACAGTAATTATTATAATAATCATGTTATAGTCCGTTCACTCGGATGCCTTGATGGAACCATTCGTGAGACTCTTTATTTCGACTTGTGCTCCAATCCCTCCATCAACATTGGGCTCCTATAAAATTATATTCATTAATTTAATTTGCTTGAAACAATTTTATAAACAAAAAAATGATGTTTACAATGCTCAAAGCTCCCACGATACAAGGTCCAGCTGTATCCGAGTGGGTATCTTCGTCCGATGCGTGATCTTTCGTTTCCATCTCTTCATCCTGGGAAAAACAAGTTATGTTACATTAATTTTAATACATTTTTTATATAATCTAAAAATTTGATTAAATGTGCTTCGGTTCAGAGGCATGGAGAGTTAAACGATATGGTAAAGTCGAAACACCATCTAGTACCCTCTACGTTAGGTAGCTCCAACTGAGCTTGGACCAGATCAAGCACAGAGGGTTGCTAGATTCTTTCCGACCATATTTTTAGTTTTCACTTCATATCCAGAAGAGAATGTAAATTTCATCATGATTAAATCGTTCTCTGCCTTCCAACCAGCCCTCCAAGTCAAATTCAATTCCAAATTTTCCACCCTCCAGTAGAGAAGTCTAACATCCTGACGTCTTGAAAACCTTCCTCGAGGATCGCTGATTTAAGATAAGAATCGGCACTGAATGTGCAGACGTCTATCTAATCAAGGCCGGAGTTCCACAAGGGAATATCCTAGAATCCTATATATCTTTTTTCAGTTAAATTGGTACTTTTTTCTTCCAATATAATACTTTTTCCATCTAAATTAGTACTTTTCCCAAGCGATTTAATACTTTTTCGAAACAACTTAGTACCCTTCCCAAGCAAATTAATACTTTTCCCGAGCAATTTAATACTTTTCAAATGTGTTGGGGTAAAGGGGGTAAATTTAACATAATCATACTGTCTAGAAACGAAATTTATTATTGAAAATAAGAAAATTAACAAAATGAACCTTTTATTTCAAAGTCAATGCAGGGGACGTCCAGGAACCGCTGAAGGTAATTTCAGTATCACATCAATGAAAATTGGAGCAATCTGTAGAATTGATAGTGTGGGCACTGCAACTAATCACTTCTGCAATGTCGTGTTCTGCAGCTGTCCCACATAAAACCCTCCGGGCTGATGCCTTTATTTTAGAAAAAGCATATTCAGCTGGGTTTAACATTGGGGAATATGGAGGCAAGTACTTGATGGTGTGAAAAAACGATTCTACAACATTGCGTTCTGTGAATGGCTGCATTATCCATTATCAGAATAGAGTTGTCCAGCTCCATTGCATTAAGTTTCTCGCAAAGATCCTGTAGGAAATCGCAAAATAAATTACTGTTACAGTTCGCACTACAGAATAATGTACTACCTGCTGATTATTTATAGCAAGAACGAGAGTCACGTTGCGACCACGAATTGTTGGTACGGTGACAACAGCTCTCGTGCACGTGTCCGCCGCAAATGTAGATTAAATCCTGATTCATCTATAAAAATTAATTTTGCGCGATATTGTGGGACCCATATTTTAAAATCCATTGCAAACTGCCTTCGTTGTTGTACCGTTGACTCAGAATTCATGCGATCTATTTCAATGGACGCACGCTTCAAAGTTATTTTTAATGACGTTAGCCCTCAGTGTATTGAAGCAATAGACAAATTTATGTTGCCTAATGCAAGCTGTTCTTTAATATCTTGTAATGATAGGCCCGCGTTTCCTTCAATGATTTCCTCAATAGCGGCTAGAACGTCAGGAGTCAACTTGTGCAGCCGGTGTCCATCTCTTTTTTTAATTACTAACGTACAGTTTTGAGACGTATAATTTCTGTATATACTGTAGCCAGTTCGAGTTTTTAAATTTGATTTTTGAGCTGCATCTTTGACCGAATGACCCTCTTCAACTAATTTTATAAAAAGTTCTTTTTGATGCCTTGATGTAACTGCGTAGGTACCCCTGCTCGGTCTTGAGCGTTGGACACTGGACGAAGATGAACCGCCTGCAGCACTAGGTGATGTTTCATCATTATGATCACTTATGTCACTCCAGTCACTTCCGTCACTCATTCTATATATAAAACTCACGCAATGCATACAATAAGACAGACAAACAACTGAATATTTTAGGGGTAAAGAAAACAAGAACAGTGGAAGGAGAATTTCCTAGAAAGCCGTCTGGGAACGATAAGGTAGGCTGGCGAACTCAATGAAATAAGTGAGACAAGTTCAAACGAAACCAGCTAATAAAGCAACACGCTATGCTCCACATTTTTTCGAATACCTTTTAAATAAGTATTAATTTTCTTGGGAAAAGTATTAACTTGTTTGAGAAAGGTACTAATTTGGTTGGGAAAAATATTAAATTGCTTGAGAAAAGTATTAAATCGCTTGGGAAAAGTACTAATTTGGTTGGAAAAAGTATTAAATTGGTAGAAAAAAGTACCAATTTGACTGAAGAAAACTATATACCCAACATCCAAATCCCAACCTTCCTGAGCGACATCGTAATCTTCTCCTCATAGCGGGTGCAACAAAACTAGATCTCATTACAGCCTGGTGTACGATAGTGCATTAAACTAAATGGCTTACATGTAACTCACACATTATCTAAAAAGACAAGAACCCGAAGAAAGGCATATGGGACTTAAATCCACAGTTAATGTGCACAGCTAACTACCAATATCCAAAACAGATGGTTTTGACCTTTCTGAAACGAGGTGTGGGGCAAAGGCAAACCTTCTAATCTCCAAGAATCTATCCAATCTTTCAATCCAAAGACTTGGACTCTTATCCTCAACGCTACGTTCTACGTAACTAACCAAACCAACAAACACCTAGACATCCCATTCTTTACGGACCTGATCCAAACAGGATTCCACAACTTACACTCGAACCCATTAGTGTCTTGGATTAGTTAGGGACTTCGGACAGGGTGATACCGTTGGGCGCGTTAACCTCCAAAAATCAAAAGTGGCAAGTACAACTCTTATAAAATCATAAAGCTTTAATTACTTAGGGCACGTTGAGCAACTTGTCTGTCAACCTCGTATGGCCTATTCTGAAGTCGGTTGAGAATGAACTCTTCAAACAATGAAATTCTCTGAAGTCCATCTACCGCTGATATTTCCATTTAATAATTTTCAACATCTGAAATCCGAATCGCGGTCATTTGGACGTTGTGAAGCCAGGCTTTTTACTACTTGAAGAGGTAAAAAGTTCGGAGACCTAGACGCTTTAGTTAAGATTATCTTTTCAACAAGAGCACACCAAGAAAGAGGGCCGTCAAGAGAATCGGTCATGGACGTACATGATCAACGTAGTCTGGGATACAGTAAGCAGAGCCATTCATAGCCTCGAATTCCCCCAAGCATGCCATCCCAATCTCATACAGCTTCGCCATGTACACACTAATCCTTCAGGAGTGACAAAGTCAAGGCTATTGACTAAACCGCAAACACTCATTAGGTCCGTATAGAGGTCGCATCGCCTAAAAGACAATGATGTGCTTTTTCGCCTATCAGGCGTTTGTTTTTAGCAGGGAGGGAGCGATAAAATTCTGCTTACAAAAAAATGTTGCTTTTCGTTTAAGTTGACAAGTAGAAAAACGCCCCGATCACTAAGCATCAAATCGATTTCTTCATCATTTGTCCCTGCTGACGGGCGGATCAGCATCATAGCGCCTGATCAGCTCCGCACGACGAGAAATTCCAAGGTATGAAATGATTTCTGTCTGACTTTCTTGGGGTACTCATGACGATGGAATTGGCCGTTCTCTCGCCGTCCAGTGGAGAGGCTCCTCCAGCTAAGAACCTCGAACAACCGGCACTGGCTTTCAATCTGAATGAAATGATAACCACCACAAGGGGAGCTCAACCGTTCCGTAAAGGATTCTGGTAAACAGCACCACCTGAACCTGAACCACTGAACCGCACATCAAACCCTAAGTACCTACCAGTACTCCCATCACTACGAATCTAAACCCAACAGAGCTTGGAGATGGTTCTGAAGTTCAGTGGCTCACTCCTCAGCTGAAGATCCACCAGATCTGGACTCTACTTGATAATCTTCATCGGATAGACAGGTGCTTTCTTTAGTTTGGTCCCCTGAAGGAAACTTTAACCGTGGCCGCCACGGGAAGGCAGGAAGTAGCATAAAAACTGGAGAGGTTATGTAAGTGGTATGTGTTCCCGAGTACTCATCGTCAACAAGACAAGAGGATCTTTAGCGTCCGCACCTGGCCTTTTGGCCTTATCGGACGTTTTGATTCTCAAGATGAGACCTGACGCACTTCTGCATACGACGGAATGGTGGTGCCGCCGCAGCATTGGTCTACAGGCGCCCCAGCCCCTAAGGGCCGAGACAACCTCGCTTTCCGCTTGTCCACTCCGAATGGTCAGGCCCGCATTGTGCATCGGGTCATATGCCGCACGCGAGGGGCTAACAGGCCGAAATACATCGCCCTGTCCCCCCTCCGCGTACTCCCTAGATAGAGAAGGCTACTTTATCTCCCTGAGTATAGAGGCTCCCCCAGCGTAGAAACTTCTGGGAACGCCCTGACAGCGGTTTAGTTTAAAGTGGAATTGCTAACCACACCCTAGATGAGCACCGCCTACGGTAAATTCTCCTATCTAGCTCAGCCTACACCTGTCACGCGCATTGGAGGGACGCCATAGGATCAGCCTAGGTGGTCCGATCCTTCGCTTCCCCAACGGTACCACGCCGGTCATACGCACAACAATGCAAAGCATACTCGAGTCAGAGACACCGCTTCACTACCCGTTTCCATCCGCTTACTTACGCATTCGAGGGACTATAGCATGATCATCGCGACCTCAACGCTTACACGCCGCCATCCAGTCGCAACGTCTCCTGTGAGGCCGGGGGGGTTTTACGCTGGCCATGCGCAAGCTTCACGAAGGTCACAGATAGAAGACAGCCTCTGTCTAAGTTCCCGCCAGGGGCGTCACCACGCGCCACCACGAAACCGTTCCCATTGTAACTTTGGGCTGATTTTGAAACATTTAAGTTACCCCGTGGTACAGACGGCCATACACCCTCCCCCGTCTATGCAGACAGGATCTAGTGCACTGGCCCTCGTGTGACTCTGCTAAGGCACCCGCCGCCCATGCGGACCCTAGGCCGACACGAGTACAGCTTGCGCTTCAGAGAGGTTGTCACGTCCTCTGGGCTGCACCTTTATTTTGTGCCCGGAAACCCTCTTGGAACCAAGGGTTTAGGAGGGGTCACAGGATAGAATGAA